CCAGCTCGGGCAGCGGTGGCGCACTCCCACCCCAGGACCTCCCCACGCCCCTTTTCCCCTCGACAGTCTCGCGCTTCCCGGCCGCCAGTGCCACCCCCAGCGGCATTAAGTAACCTTCGGGAAAAGCCCGGAGACCCAGCCGGTCTGGGAAAGCGGCCGCGCTCCCTCCCACCCTCACGTCTGTCCCCGTCGGAGCTGCTCCACGGACAAAGCACTCTCCATTCGCGGGTCGATGGCCCAAGGAGGCTGGAATCACTGTGATCTGGGCTCGGAGAGGTGGCGCCAATGTCCCAAGTTCACACAGCTGGACTGAGCTCTTGGCTGCCGCGCCCCACCCTGCATGCGTGACCCCCGGAACCTGCTTGAATGGCTCCGGTGTGATCCAGTTTGGGTGGTATAATTGATACACATAACTAAAAGCAGCAAAGCTAATCCTAATGAAAATTGTAAATACATCTAATATTCCAGCGTTTTCTTCTCTATACCTTGCCGGTACCCCCAACCCCAAGTATAACCTCACAGGAGGGCAAGGGTTTATGTTTGTTTTGCTCTCTGCCTAAAATACTCCCTGATGGTGGGAAATGCCAATACATTGGAGGAACAAAGGGGCACAGTCCTATGTCAGACATCACTCCAGGGGCCTTTCTTCCTGAATGCACTAAGCAGCCACAGAGGGCTTTGGCTCTGTGGTCAGTTCCTGCTTTTCATCTGATACCCCTTCCTGGAGCGAGAGGCACCACCTGCCAAGTGAAAGGTAATTTGAATGAGCCCTGCAGAGGAGAGGGGATGGGCACAGAGATGGTGGCTAACATTTATTGAGCACTGATTATGTCCCAGGCCCTGCGTTAGAGGCTCTGCCTGTGTGGTCTCATTTAATCCCCACAACAGTCCTGGGAAGGTGGCCCTGTAGTGATCCTCATTTCACAGATGAGGAAACTGAGGTTTAAAATGTGCTCAGACGAATGCATGTCAGGTGTCAACATCCATGCTCTTTGCCACTCATACTACCCGTTCACGAACAAGAGGATTAGACCCACTCCCTGCCCCCAAGAACAGAATTGCACTGGAGACACAGAACACCGAGGCAGGAAATGGTTAATGCCGACCCAGGCAGTGAGGACTGGAAAGGAGCTCTGGCCTGGGGGTTAGGAGTCTGGATTCCAGTCCAGTTCTCGCCCTGGCTGGAGAGTGAAGTTGGGCGTATCCTGTCTGGGTTCTTATTTCTTCTCCTACATGATGGACGTGATGATCTAGATGTGGCCTGATGTTGTGAGTCTCTATGAGGTAATTTGCATGCCACAGTGCTCTGTTGCCTGTGAACTGCTGTGCGGATGTGAGGGGTTGGGTCTGGGATTAATGCAAGCAGTCTTTGGGAAAGGAAGAAATCAATATGGCCTGGAGAAGGCAGAAGAGGCTTCAAAGTGGGAGTGAAGTTAACCAAGTGCTGGGGTCTGCTGCGAGTTTTGGGGGCCAAGAGGGAAGGGGAAGGTAATACTCAGAGGAACACACACCCAAGTAGTAAATGGATAAGAACTCCTTGGCTGGAGAGGAGACCAGTGGGTAGGGAGGTGCTAGAGTGCTAAGATCTTGAAAGGCAGGCTCATTGATGGGTATGCACGTGGCCGTGAAGGCCATGTGAAATCATTGGTGCTCCCTGGGCATTTTGAAATCCCACATAACATTTGCTATGGGCAGAGCCATCTCCCTTCTGTCTCCATCTATCTAATAAAAGCCTAAGCAACCGTTACAGCTGAACTATCAGAATGACCGGTTGCTATGATGTGCACTGACCACCAGGGGGCAGACACTCAATGCAGGAGCTGCCCCCTGGTGGTCAGTGCACTCCCAAAGGGGAGCACCACTCAGCCAGAAGCCAGTCTCACGGCTGGCAAGTGCAGCCGTGGTGATGGGAACCTCTCCCGCCTCCGCCGCAGCACTAAGGAACAGCTAGCCGAGCAGTAAGGAGTGAACAAGCAGGCAGTAAGGAGCGAGGGATCCCGGATTGCAAGAGGGATGTAGGACTGCTGGCTTAGGCCCGATCCCCCTGGTTTAAGCCGGCAGTCCAACATCCCCCAAGGGGTCCCGGACTCCAAGAGGGCGCAGGCAGGTCTGAGGGACCACCCCCCCCCCCCCCGCGCCTCAGTGCACGAATTTCATGCACCGGGTCTCTAGTTTTATTGATAAAAGAACAGACCCAGAGAGAACATGCAATTTACCAAGTCACCTACCCAGTGAGTGTCAGATTGACAAGGTCTCAGAGCAAAGGAGGGAGACACATAGGAGAAGGAGGGAATGGGCAAGGTCTTCAGATGATGCTGAGTTCACATAGAGTCAGAAGACCCTCAAGGTCGTGAATTCCTTGTCATTGCAGAGACAGACCCTTTAACAAATAAGAGGTCATAGAGAAGGTAGGAATTACGAGCGTGGGCTGGGTGGTCACACTGAATCCTTATGAGCTATATAAAATGAAGGGAAATCTGTAAAATGAAGATGACAATGGTTCCTTCCTCCCAGGTTATTGGGAGGATGTAAGGTGTTACTGAGATATAAAGCATTTATCAGAGTGTCTGGTGCAAGACAATGTGCAATGGATGTTCCCTTCTGTTATTGTGATATTCTGCGATGACGATATTCTGGCAGGGACATGACTGGCAAGAGAAAGGCAAGACCCCAGCCCTGTCCCTCCAGGGGTTGAGGCACCAGCAGCCAAAGCAGGATGGCCTCACGTGGAACTTACACACAGGCAAAGGACATTCTAACAAAATTGTCCACTTCAGGTGCCTTTGTTAATCTGTTCATACTCTCTGTGAATATGAATTCTCTCCCACTTGCAGCCATTCTGTGCTGCATCTACTTTATTTTATTATAAATTACTGATCATAGGGAATTTGCCTTCTTAATTCTGTATTTGCCTGTTGCATATAAAGTAGCCTACCAACTGGGAATATACTGACTTTCTTAGAACTATATTTCTATATTGCTTAGAAAGAGCCACATCAACCACAATTATATAATAGTTCTATACCAGTAATTGTGTTTGACAGTTAAAACCAGAGATTGTGAACTGGTGGCCATGGATTCACTTTGGTCTATTTATATGTTTTGTTCAGCTTGCCTGGTGACAAACCCCATATTAAATTGTTAGCAATATTTGATAATGAAGCTATTTTACATCTAGATTTCTGGCTTCTTTTTAAATTTTTGAAAAGCCTGGCAACATGGGACCCATGTTCCCTGTGACAACAATTGATTGGCATTAAAAAAGAGCTGCTGACTTCAGTTTAGGCAATGGCCTTCAATTTGCCATTGTCACCACCACTCCTTATTGGTCCCCAACACCATGGCTAAGAATCATTTGCCATTTATCATCACACATGCATTCTGCCGAGAGAGAGAGAGAGAGAGAGAGAGAGAGAGAGAGAGAGAGAGGAAAGTGGAATAGATTGAGTGCTCATATCTGTTAAAAATGGGTAAAAACTAGATGATAGATAGATAGATAGATAGATAGATAGATAGATAGATAGATAGATGAGCGGGAGAGCCATGTTTTAAGAAAGAGTAAAGGACATATTTCTACATGTTTAATATACAAATTAAAGCATATCTATCTTGGGGGAAAAAAGAAACTAAGATGCCATTATGAAACAAATCTGGTCCCCCTCATTAGTATGTTATCTGAAGGATGAAGGCATAGCTTTGTTTTGATTGGTGGGTTTAATTGTGGTCTAGTTCATCAGTCCAAGATATATATGCATAAGGCAGCAGACTCTGGCAGGGAGATCCTGTGAGCACATTTTATATTTTGTTGGTTTGCTGTAAGTATCTGATAATATCCAATTCACTGAAATCTAAAGATGAAAGTCCCCAAAGCACATTTGTCCGCTATAAATTGGTGGACATAGATGCACATTAATATTGTTTATTTTGCACCAATTTCACCTGGGAAGTAAGGTCATGTTCACAGGCAGTAATGCTCTCATTTTGGAGTTTGGCCTGGAGATGTTAACTGTGACCTCAGACTGATGGAGGCCAGAGAGTGTGTCCGGCCTGTAAGCTGGAGGGGGTCCAAATGGTCCCAGTGCAGGTGTGGGAGGGATGGGGGCAAGACGCCAAACCAGGCATTTTGCCTTCAGCCAGACTGTGTTTTGACGGTTTAAGCGATTTCCTTCCATTCAATATGAAGCTGTAGAAATAGCCAAGAGGAAGCTTCGTGTCATACCCAAGCTGGTCTAAACTGTTTACCATGGCTTCAGTGCAGTTTGTGAGATCGGCACGTGTGGAGACATGGGGATCGTCTGTCCCCTCCCAGGACTCAGCTGAATTAGTGGGCTATCCCATTTTCCTATAATTCATCCAAGTGTCT